CTCCCTCTCTCTCTCTCTCTCTCTCTCTCTCTCTCTCTCTCTCTCTTGACTCAAATAAAAATTCGTTTCCTCCTTATTCATCCAAGAAATAAAAGTATATATTTAAACAATAAACTATCTATTTAATTATGTCACCCTACAGTATTCTCGGCTCAAATTTCCTATCGTGTACACGCAAGCGACACGTAAAACACACAGAACTCGACGCCAATTACATGTTATATTTGTTATATGTACTTACAAAAACAACGAGCCACTCACGCTTCCGTTATTATATATATTTACAATCCGCCACTGGTTATTGCTATTATGGTACATTTATACAGGCAAAATGGCGCACGCGATGGGTGTCTCCTTATCTCATGCGTGCTGTTCCATCGCGGCGTTATTGTTTCGTGATTACGATAATGTTACACACGACTTCGCCACGTTAATAAGTGTCTCGTGTTATATGTATGGTACAGCCTTGCGTATGCCGGTGCGCTAATAATTACATCTAATTAGCGCCAGCCGGCCGTCTCGACGTATGTACAGAGTAAACACAGATTAACTTCTCTTTCATCCCCTCGTGCCTCGCACATATATATCCGCATTCCGTGTAACTTCCGGCGTATGTTACCTGTTAGTGATTTCTGCAAACATGCTGCTCTCGCATGATTCAATATTTTCGTCTCGCAGAACGACGAAAATCATTGTAATTATTCTCCGAAAACTTCCGTATAGACAATTTTTTTTTCTTCGTTAATTTTCTGCGAGTATTTGCAAATTAATAATAACCACAACTGTAAATTTTCTAAAAATTCCTTTTAATTATTACGATATTCAGTCGATTCCTTTTGCCGTCGTTTCGACGCCGAAAAGAAGATTTCCGGGTTTCAGCCTCGCAATCGTCACGCAGATCGAAGCATATCGATAATAATCGTTCGGTAATAGCGTCGATTATATCCGCTAATACCCATTTTAGTGGCTCCGCTCTTGGAAAGCATTAATTTCGATCTCGAATCTCTCTAAAGCGTTTGTCGCGCATCTCCCGAGGCGATATGATAGCGTAGATTACACATTACCGGATGTATTTCGGGATGCGATTATGTGAAAGGCAATTACGCGCCGCCGATCGTCACTCTATCGAACGATGACTATGGTAATATTTAGGAACTCACTTTGAAGATGACTCGCGATTAACCCTTTAGATTTAGCGCAAATTTTTATCTTAATATGCGCAATTTTAATAATTTCAATATCAATTTAGCTTTATTTTAATGTTATATTTTTCTTTTTGTCACATTGTTTCTTTCTTATATATATAAATTTAAATATTGAGACCTAAAAATCTTATTAAATTATGAAATTAAAAAATCGTCACTAAATCATAAATTTTCACATATATATTTAAAAAACCATCTATGTTAAAAACTATTTTAAAATATTTTTTCAGATTGAAAATTTCTAATCCTGTTTGTTGCGCGTGTTTTATTTTCTTTTTGTTTAAAATTATTTAGAATATTATTTGAAAATGACACAATACATAATATATTGAAATTATTACACATTCTTAGATGCAAAGAACGCAATTTACGCTTAGATGCGTATTTCACAGGTGACGATTGACAATCAACGTAATGATGAACATCGTGCACTACGCATCAAGTTAACCGGATAACGGAAAAGCGATGTGTGAAGTCAATATATCCGAGCAATAAGGGTCAATTGCGAATAGCGTCGATTGGCGTCAAAAATCGCTGAAACGAAGCGGCTCTATTCATTTCGTTTTGGCTGAAAATTCGTCGAGAAAAAAAGGGGAATCTCGCCTTTCAGGAGGGGGGAAAGAGACGAATTGTTTGAAGTTGTATCGAACTACACGAATTGCGAGGGTGTCTTCCAGCAGCCGGCGCAGCAGGGCAAGGCGCTCTTTAGGGTATCCTTGAAGGCGTCACGAAAGTCGCGGTTGAAATACGCATAGATGAGTGGATTCAGGGCGCTGTTGAAGTAACCTATCCAGAAAAGCACCGATACCACCGTGTCCGGGCAATAACAGGCCTCGCCGCACAATGACGTCGTCAGATACCTGAAGAATAATAAACAAAAAGAGCTCACTTTTTTCTGTCGAAGCTAATCGAATAAATTAATTATTAATATATCAATATACCATGGTATATCCCGATTGCCTGTATGTAACACAAATTAAATTCATAGAAGGCCACAGCAGGATTTTGGTGCTCCTAATATTTCTATGTGAATTTATGTACATATTCTAGTTTCACGAACTGCGTGCCGTTACTTCCGGATTCAACACAGCTCTTTGCTTGAAACAGAACAGTATTATCACGATTATTAAATTGATAATTAATCCATTTAATAAATACTGATGCTCACCGGCATCTAATAAAATCCTCCAACGACGCAAAATAAAGAATTATTTGCTGCAAAAAATATTACTTCAGTCAGGAAGTAACGGCACGTAATTCGTGAAACTAGAATATGTATATAAATTTACATAGAAATATTAGAAGCATCAAGCTATGGCCGCATGGCCTTCTATCAATTAAATTAATTGTTAAATATATATTTTTAAAAATTTCCAAGATTTTTAATTATATAAATACGCATAAAAGAAGTTAAAAAGAGACTACGATTTCTTACATATACACATATTTAAAAATTGAATTTATAGAATTACATTTCAAGAAACCAGAATATGTGTGTGATTTAATACATACTTTTGAAAAAGTAAAATATGAGTAATTGAACTAAAAATGTAGATAGAAATTTTCTTATATAGATGTCAGTTTCTTACTTTTATCCAAGAAATGCAATATCATAAATAATGTAATAACCCTCGTAATAACCTAAATCGTTAAAGACGATCTTTCCGCAAAGAAGAAAGCGTTTTGGGAATACCGTGGTAACATTAATAATCGAGACAGTAAGAGGCTGTAAATCTGTAGGGAAAAGGTCAAGAGAATAGATCGGCCAAATACGGTGCGCTATAATTTCCGATAAGGATACACCTCAGTGCGGCGTTAGCCGCGTATCTCGAAGGTGCGAATACAGATATAACGTTCGGATATTTATGGCATTTGTTCCACGCCAAAACTACATCGGGGAAAATGAGTTTTCTCTACGTGCGCCTCGTGTATTTTTCTACAGGCATCTGCGCGGAGTACTTCGCATACAGATGCATCTACTGCATTATGCGTAGATTTCAAATCAATATTTCAATATTGCCTTTCCCGCGTGGGTGAAAATCGACGTGAAAATAAGATTCATGTCTTCCTGAATTCCGTACACGTAACACCCACAATTTCGCAACAAAATTCGAAATTTCCTTCGATTTAGAGATGTCATTACACTTGCAAAAATATTACAACATACAAATTCTAGGAATTTTGTTTAACGAAGTAAATATCTAAAGGTACACATATCTGTATTAAACGGAAACTATTATAAATTATGTTCCGGGAATTTGCAGAGTTATCGCATCAGTTACTAGTCTAAATTAAGGAAAATGATACTTGTAGTTTAACGTAGTTATTTCTTATTTATTCGAAAATTAAATTAATAAGATATGCAAAATAAATAATTTTTAAGTTATGTATTTTAATTTCAAAGATTCTGTGCGCAGAATTTTTCCTAAGGAGGAGCAATTTATTCTAAGAAGATTAATGTCACCGAAATATTGTCTGATTGATTGAATATTCTAGATAAATCGAAATAATGGTAAAAACGTAACATGTGTGCGACCGTATTTTCGACCACATAGTCATGTCATTATTAATGCACGAAGTATCGATCGCGATACCGATATAGCGCGATATTAAATGGATCGACATGGATTTGTGGTCACAGTTATCTCCGTTTGACGAAAATTATAAAGCCACCGATATCAATCAAACAAATTGGACTTTGAAAACGCAGTTGATCTCTTCTGTACAACTACACATCCGTTCCTACGGATTTATCCCGCTCTGTATTGTTTTCCAATATATCTCTATTGTTATTTCTGTCGCGTGCGCCTCGCGAAACATATGTCACATGAAGAAAGAAAAATAATTTCGAACGCTTAATAAAATATAAAAATATAGAAAAGTATTACCAGATTTTAACGAGATTCGAGACAAAGACATTTGAATAAACGTTAAAAGCAGAATTAAAGACTTACTGATGTCCGGACATTCTCTAAAAAAAAAAACCAGTCGAATTATTCATACGTTAAAGGAGAGCCGATTGTACAAAAGTCGATAACGCGATTCGGAAAATGGCCGAACTAGGAAACTAACGCGAGCTTTTAGGTCAGTAGAGTGATGCGCTTTGTGCATTTGCATGAATAAAAACCGAGTTGCAAAATCGAGGTGTTCCGTTGCACCATATATCTGCATTGCTTCGCTCTATTTCCATAGAGAGCTCATTTTCCGGTGGAATTTCATTCGGACGTATTTATTCATCGTCATCATTCGCTGTTTAACGAAATTTTCGTGAATTCTATTACCAGGCTGTTACTTATACGCATTCAACGAGAACCAATTTAATGTGTAGCATTAAGACAATAAAATAAAACCGTATATGATATCGGCTTTATATGCAGTTATATAAAGATATTAATTATAAAATTTTGCCGCACCTTAAAATTGTATTTTAAGGTGCGGCAAAATTTTATAATTAATATCTTTATATAACTGCATATAAAGCCGATATCATATACCGTTTTATTTTATTGTCTTAATGCTACACATTAAATTGGTTGTCCGTCTATAAAATGCTTCATTAAACCTTTTTTAATTCAATGTAACTTTAATGGCAATTCTAAAAAGCTAGTCTGCAAACGACGAATTTTCCGTAGTCATTTAAAATTAATGTGCTTTTACTCATTCTCTTTTCAAACTAACGCATCTCTTCTATTCTTGTTATTTTCCAGGTACGTAATTCTAAAGCATCGTTTTATTCTGTGCAAAATCCACACCTTCAGGGATAAACTCATCTAAGTGGTAAGTGACCACATCACGTATAATTATTGCGTGCCTAAAGGGATTTGCACCCCCTCAGGGAAACAAATTTCCTAGAGACAAATTCCGCACGGATCCGTGGTGTCTGCAGTCTCCCGTATGTTTTGCATTATCCATTTTTAATTTTGACTCGGAAACAAAACTTCGGAGACCAAGTTTTTTTTTTCATCCCTCGAGTCTATCTAAGAGATGTCTTCATATTCCGCTACGGTCGCGACGCTTAGTCAAGCAAATAGTCAAACTGCGAGCAAGCTTGCGGAGAGAGTAGGGTAAGCCCTCGGCAAACTCCATAGAGATGCACTTTCCGAGCTTGCATTAATAAAACATGGGGCGGACGAGACCGTCTCTTCCACCGCTAACTTTAGATATTCGGCATCAGCAAAGCTCCTCTCTCTGTCTCTCTCTCTCTCTCTCTCCCTTTCTCTCTCCTTCTCTCTTTGCTCTTAACAACAATTCGATACATAAATCCCATGGCAAGATTTCTACAAAGCAAAATCGCCAAGTGAATTTCCATTAAAACTATTTTCGATGAGATCTGGCGCTTCACTACGTTCTTTCTTTTAAAGGAATTCGTTGACATTAAAGATTTATTTATTCAGTATATATACAGGTTGAAAAGGTTAATAAAGTTTAAATAAATTTTTTACAAACAACTTCTAATTTATTGACTTTTTAATAAATTTGAAAAGACTAATTAGTAAGAAAAATACTTTAGATTTACTATTAACTTGATATAAGAAAATCAATACTTAAAAATTTTTAATTCAAAAACGTTTAAATTGAATTCTAATTTTTTCTTTAGATTAACGAGAATCTAAAATGAAAATTTAAATCAAAGATTTGCTTTTTATTTCAGATTTCATTAGCATAATGATCTTTAACTTTCTTCTATTTTTCCATCGAGAAACTTCTCTTAATAGAATAAAATTTTAATGAATTATTTGGAAATCTTTCAATGAATTCTTTCCCGATAAAATCATAAAGAATTCTCTTTAAAAAAATTGAGCCATCGAATTTTTGCGCAATTGATGCTTACCAGATGAAGAACGGCAGCCAACAGAGAAGAAATGCCCCCATAATTATACCGAGTGTTCTCGCAGCTTTATGTTCGGCTCGCCAACTTTTTGTTTGCTGTCGTATCGAAGTGCCTGAAACACAAAAATAGCCACATTACGTCGTAATACTTTTTACAAAATTTAATTTTTTATAATTATAATTTTAATAGATAATTTTAATAAATAAAGCTGTCAATAAATTTTAATTTATCTCATATGAAACAAAACTTAAAATAGGATTTATATTGGACAATGGAAATATCGCAATCTTTCATGGAATAATCCTGCCATTCCTTTGACGGAAAAATTTCCAACAGAATTATTGTATCTGTAATTTATGTATTTAATATTCGCGCTGTGTAACGTAGATTTATCGGTGGAGTGTGAAGCATGAGTATTAACATATTTCGTTTCCATTGCACGCGTTGAATTGGTAAATTTTAATACAAATCCAACAAGAGTAATGCTGTTTACATAATTACCACTGCAAAATGTAAACTATATTCACCGACGTACATTGTTCTAATATTATATAATGATGGTTTTAGCTCGATAGCCAATTTTATATTTTTCTATAGAAGTCCCTCGTTATGTTAATGAGATTCAATTACATATATAACTCTCAACCTTTAGTCACGTAGGTTTGTATAAACAATCCTATCCGTTCTGCAATTTGGCGAAGTTTAATTGATTGTTGATTACTCGCAATTATATATAAATGCAATATTAGATCATTAATTTCTATAATTAATTTCTCTCTTTTGTAATTAATTTCTTTCTCTTTCTTTACTATTTGTTTCTAGTTTAATGATTTTGATTTCACAATATAGAAATTATAATTTCTCTCTTTTATAATTGATTTCGTTCTTTTTCTTTTCATTTGTTTCTAGTTTAATGATTTTGATTTCACAATTTAGAAATTTTAAAGTTAAAAAAGCAATTCAATCATTGGCCGCGTTCAACAGAAGTCAGCGCTTAGTAAGCGCTTTGCGCCGATTGGATTATACTTTTAGATCTAGAGGAATATTTCTTTCTCAGCGAAGAAAACTTCCAACAGTTGCAAAATAAACATTCTAGCTAAACGCAGATATTGTATTTTATGATTAAAATCACAGCACTTTATGGTTTTATTTAATTTTCGAGGCACATGATTCAATTCATTGTTGTATTTTATCATTTATGACTTGATTTGTTAGAGAGTTAAATCCCTCTAATTTAGCATATTAATTAGTGAATGTTGATGAATATAATTATAATCAAAATATGAACGAATTAGTGTGAATAGAATATAAAGAATCATAATTATTTATTAAACAATATTAAAAATGTATTGATATGAATAATTTATTAATCATAATATCAGTAGAAATACAATGAATTGTATCGTAATTTTTTTTAGAATAAATTCTGTATTTAAAATAAATGATTTTGCTACATTAAATCTGCAGCGAAAAATTTCTTAATAAATGCAAATTTTTCTTTAGAGTGAAAAATCTGATAAATTAGGCATGGCGCGGCACTACACATCAAGTTGGGGGAGAAAATAAAATAACTTCAAAATTATCGAATAATTTGCTTGCATCGTTTTAATCTTTAATTTATTCCGCATTTACAAATTAATTATAATAAATTTAAAAATATAACACAGTTAAATCAATGTATTTGATTTGCAAAATTTAAATTTTGTAAAGCGTTAATCGATGAATTCAATGAGATTGAATGAAAAATGATTGTCTGTCTCTCTCATATTATCGTGTTTTTTCTCGAGTTTCTCCCGAGAGCTTTCCTGCAAAAGCCATTAAAAGCCGGCCTACCCAATTTCTGATATAATTACCTTGCACAACGTGCCATCGAGCGTTGTTATCGCAGCGCACAACTGCGATAATCGCACTACGAGCGAACATCATCATATATACGGAAATTTTTCCACAAGCTATTAACACGCACTGGCCATTTAATCTCGTCAGTCAGTGTTCCGTGAGAAAGTTTCTCCCGACGTGAAAAAGCTCTCTTTTCAGGGGTAGATAATTATTATTGTACGCAGAAAATATAGTATCTATGAAACGTAGATACATTTGTCACTTAAATTGAAAATTCGGTAAAATGTATTTATCAGGATTTAATTGAAACATTCAATGAAAAAATATATATAAACTTTTTAAATAACGCTTTTGCAAAATAATTTATAAAAACGTGTAATGTTTCGGTATTTTTGTATATTTATATATTTCTTAACTTTCCTTTACACGTGTGTATTTAATCTCACTTTTGATGAGCAGTTACGGGATAAAATTACAACAAATATTTCTGAAAAAAATAAATTGTTAGCTCGAGCTTTTGGTAGTTCAGTAATTGAGACTTAAAAGTTTCGTCAGTTCGCATAGAAATCCTGAATCCTTAAGTACTCTTCCGGATGTGCAACGGGACTTCGAAAACCGCAGATAGAGCGAACTTCACTCGGGGGTTACATCCGGGAAGCAGAGAGGACGGGGCAGTTGTTGTTTAGATAATACAGGAATGGAAGGAAGGGTGTCCGTCCGGACAGAAGGCTGAAGGGTTCGCGTGCTCGGACGTACTGAGGCAGATTTAGGTTGGTTGGTCGATGCTCAGCGCTTTCGTGCAATCAATGCGCTCGTCTATCAAGATATAAGAAGCGCCTGTACATACAGGGTGGTTTTAGCAAAAGAGTATAAGTGCTTTACCGACAAATTTCAGAGCCAATCCTCGATGATGAGCTGTACATCAGTTATGTTAAAGTTTAAATGTAAACGTAACGTATGAGCAAAGAGAAAATATCATTTTTAGGTCCTCTCTTTGTTTTTAGATCATAAACTTTTTAATATGTAGAATATTAGCACGTGTATATTAAAATGAATTTACATATGTATATGTATGTTAAAAAATTATTTTAAGACCAGAGATGAGAATTTTGTAAATACAGTCGAATCTCGATAACTTGAGCCTCTTTAACTCGAAAACCACTCGAATTTTTTCCTTTAAAAACGATTATAATCGGAAAATTATGAACTCTCGTACAAAGTTTCCGTAAGTCGAATTTTCATATCAACTCTCTTTTACTCAAACTTTGATAAATCGAAACTTCTATAACTCGAAGATTTTTACAGCTCTTTTCTTGAGATTCGAATTATCGAGGTTCAAGTATATACCTATATATAAAAAATGTGGATTTATTTTATGTATTTACATTTTAAAAACGTAGATTTATTTAAGTTCTCTGTGACTTTGGAAAATTATTTATCTCATCTTATGTTTTGTGCTTTATTACTTACTGTATATAATGATTCACAAAAACGTACAAATATCTGTACCTTTTCTAGTATTAAATACTAAAATTTTAAGTGAAAAATCTCACAAGTATCATTCTCTGCAGGATATTTGAAAATTAAGATATATGTATCAGCGCGACGTATTCGCGTTTCTCTATTACTTATCACCCTGTGCATGTGCACGCGCGCACGGGACAATCGGAGATGCAAGACAATCGCGACCCTATTTCGCATCGCGTAATCTTGCAAGCTAAAGCTGTGTCTTAATATGTCGCTCGTTACCTGGGTGTCTCCGGGGAAATATCTTTAACGCTCTTGTGGTCCAATTTTCTTCCTCATCTTTTTAAAGTGGGTAGGAACGACAAGTGTATCAGCGATGGACAATGATATGCTATCGCAATCTCTTCAACGAATAAAAATGGAATTTCACTTTTTTGGAAGAAAAGTGAAACTTCTAGGTGTGCGAAATTTGTGAATGTGATAAAGAAATAGCATATTCTATATTTAAATAAATATTAAATAAAGTTAAAGAAATGAATGTAAAATGTATAAAACATAGAACATATGCTCTTAATCAATTATAATATTTTCTTATATTAGCGAAATTTAAGTTAACACTAATATAATTAAATAACACTATTATAATTAAAATTTCTGCAAATAACAAATGAAAATGTTTGATGATATTTTCTTAATTTGGTAAATTATAATATTTCTGCAATTCTTGAGAAACTACAAGATATTCTCTATATATTAATATTTTTCAATATTATCTAATATATGCTATTTGTGTATGATAGTTTCAAAAATTATATAAAAATATAACTTATTATAAAAATGAAATTTGAAATAATTCTATTTTAAATTTTTCAAGTATAATTATTTTTCTAATTTTCTCTCTCTCTCTCTCTCTCTCTCTCTCTCTCTCTCTTTCTCTCTCTCTCTTTCTCTCTTTCCCTCTTTGCGCACTACGCTGTATGTATTTCATGCTAAAAAATGTAAGTGTGTCTTTGGTCACAAATAACACGATAACGGACGGATAATAATGACTCAATTAAACCATAATCACTATAGTGAATCGAAAAATCGACCCGCTCAAATTACATTCTTTGACACAATATCCTGTTAAACTTCGCGTTTTTCCACGTGAACTCCGCGCCAGGATATAATCGCATAATGATGGACTTGTGTAATTATGACGGCAGAATTCCATCATCGTGGGAATTGTCCGGCGAAATTTTGCTCGGCGGCAAAGAGATGCTTTCGCTGAACTTTATGAAGATTCTCTGTCCGTCACTCCATTTTCATCCACACTATGCGACTGTGTCGGCTTTGGCAATTACATCGGTTTTCATTTCTCACTACCTGACGGACGGACAGGCAGATGACCAGCTATTAAACGTACAACAGAGTACCCGAAACTGGCAAATGACCCTTTCAGATTGCTGGAATTGATTTTTTTCCTCAACAATGAGAAAAGAATATGTAATGTATAATATATTGCAGAGATAAGAGTGTATATTAATAATGCGTAATGGAATTTCTTTGAATATAATTTTTTACTTTTTTATATTATACTTTTGTATATGTGTGTGTTACTTATACATATATACATTATAATAAGAATACGTAACTACTAATGTATACTCGTATATGTATAAGTAACCAACATATATTCGACGATTTTTGGTGGGAGATTTTGTCAAGAATGTTTGAGAGATGAATAGCTACTTGGTTATTACTGTCGTCGAGTTCCCCATTGTACAGGCCAATGAACAAATGGTACCGCAAATTTGACACGTCATC